AAACGGGCAGTGGTACGGGATCTGGTTAGGCTAGGTCTTGAAGGTTTACGAACCAATAGGGCGAGACCAAAAGCAGAGTTATCCTCTGAGTTGCGCGCAGCTACACTTATATGCGAGGAAGAAGGGCCACTGGCGGAAACGCGTAAGCATTTAGGTCCTCCCAGGGGATGGCTAGAGCATCGAGGTCCCAAGCCAGAGGATCCGAAACAGTGACACAAAAGCAGCTGATGGTTGAATGGGGTGGCGAAAGGCAGCGTGATGGTCTGGAACACCTGAGGATGTAATCTCCATTCCGTTGGAGAGGGACGACTCGGCCGGGACAGAGAATCTGCGATGACATTCTTCACCCCCGGAATGTGGTTGGCTCGGTCTAAGATGTTGAGAGAGTCCACCAGATCGAAGAACTGTTTAGTCCACTGCAGCAGTTGAGTAGACTCCGTGGACCCCATCCTGTTGATATGCCAAACCACCACTGCGTTGTTCGATCGGATCATGAGGGAAGTTGCTCGTAGGTCATCCTGCCAGTGACTGATTGCAAGAATCAGCGCCCTGAACTCCAGAACGTTTATGTGACGAGAGACCACAGCCCTGCCACTTGTTGACTGAGAAGATGAGCTCCCCACCCGTGTAGAGATGCGTACACATACTGGTGGTGAGACGGAACAAACGGCCCTAAACAAATTCCGTCGCAAACATTCAAATCTTTCATCCACCACAGGAGGCAATGGGATCTCCCACTCTGATGTAAGGCACTAGAAAGTACTGCAAGGGATAAAGTTGAGGGTCAACGCCTGAGCCGACGTCAAGAGGCCCAGGAGTTCCTGCCACTGTCGAAGTGTCCTGGGGTGCGCCAGTGCCAGAGAGACCAATCGCTGTATCTTGCAGAAACGATCCCTCGGGAAAAAGGCACTCTAGGGATCATTGACACATCCATCAACCCCACCGGAGGATAATAGAGTGCCGCCCCGAAACCATCCACTGTATCCGAAGCCATTGCCACATTCTACACAAGCCCCGAATGGGAAAGAGGCATAGAATCAACCACCGAAGTGGAAAGTGCCTCACTGCATGGAAGCGTCACTTGAGATGTAATGCTAGGAATCACACCAAGCCATGCACGAGAAACCCCCACCTCAGGAACAGAAGTGCGCTGAGGAATAGGCATTACCGAAGAGGGACGGGTTTGAGGAGAATACGTACACAACACGACAACCCTAGGTGGTGAAGAGTCTTCTAATGTGATGGGGTTAGACGCATGCGGCCGAAAAAGTTGCCATAAATTTTCACTGAGGTAGGAATCCGACGCCTCCCCTAGGAAATTTTCAGTAGGCGACGGGGACTTCCAACGTCAGACTGCAATTTTCTTACGGCTTTCTGTCTTAGAACGTTTAGACGCAGAAGGACCCTCAGATGGTTGATGACGATCTCTGTCTACAAGCTACCCGGCGATATTCAGAAAACGTATCATCGTTGATGTCTGCACAGAAAGTGCAACGTTGAGACCACTCACTACGTCCTAAGCAATCAACACATAAAGCATGTGGGTCTGCCGCCGAGAAGTTGCTATTGCATGTATCGCAATGTTTGCGCTTTTTAGCACTATTGCGATTTGAGTTTCCCATAGTAGAAACGCAATCAAACTTTCTTAGAGACAAGCACACGTCCACACGACGTAGCGACAAGAAAGAGAATGACAGGCACAGGTAGTCACATAATCATCTGAGCGAGCTCCACACTTACAAAGATGATTGACAGGTGCTGATATCGGAGTGGGGGCAGAGGTCAGGGCGGGTCAGAGGCCAGTAAGATTTGATTCAACTTAGCCTACAGCACGTTTCCACACATGGTCGTAGAGAAGAAGAGAGGTGCATACCGTGAGATAGGATAAGTTTAAAAATTGAAATTCTTTGTTTTTATTTGCTGTAAGATTACAACACTAGTTCATAGCACAATAACCAGTACACATTATTCTTGTCCATTATTTTAAAACATATTGGTCTAACTGTATAGTGGAAAATATGGAATGCAAGTTACCAACCTTGGCCTCATTGGCAGAATATTTGGAATACGAAAAATGGGTGAAAAACACTCTGGTTCATGATAAGTAATCATACTCATGCTGCTATCAGCCAGTGTCTGCAGAATCTACAGTCATGACATAGTATATAAGCACATTTAGATTCCCCATGTATTGGTCAGTATATTTTACAATACAGGAAATGCCTTTGAGTGCTTACTCCATATTTGAGTGCATTTGGTCTTGCATTTCTGCCAATTGTGACTTGAAGGTGCTGTGTGCTGCTTCATATTTTGCTTACCGCACAGCAGAACCTCACCCCTGCATAACCAAGAACTAAGTAACACTCATGTACTTTAGATCATGTACTTTACAAAGTGTAATTAATATTGTCTAACAACCAGTTTTTATATATCACCCCACTAAAATAATGTTTACATAATTTGATAAATAATTGTTTCATGGTGAACATTCATATGGCTGAGGGTTTTCACAATTTTGTTTGGAATATCTGACAGTGGTAACCGAAATAATTGTAACCATGCCATCAAGGTTACTTGTTGAGCGGGGCGGTGGGGTAGCCTAGTTGTGAAAGCGTTGGCTCGTCACGCCGAAGGTCCGGGTTCGAATCCCCAAATGGGTACAATGTGTGAAGCCCATTTCTGGTGTCCCCCGCCGTGATGTTGCTGGAATATTGCTAAAAGCGGCGTAAAACCAAATTCAGTCAGTCAGTCAGTACTTGTTGAGCTGTTGATTGATTTGTGACACTATATAGTATGACTGCTTGTGTGAATACAACGTCACCATAAATGGGAAAGTTCATATATTTTATTTTTTTTATAATGATACAAGAACTGCTATTCATTCCAGGGATTGGGAAAGGCAGGGGCCATTTTGGACATTAGAATAAAAAATGGCCCATTAAAATCTTGACGTTTACTATCGATACAAGGGCAGTGGCCCAATCTAAATTCAGAAAATGGCCCATTGTCAAAGGTCTCCATCCCAATCCCTGTATTCAATATATCATTATCAGTATATTTACAGCATGGCAAAGAAACAGTTTGACACATGCAGATCCCTGTCATCTATCCAAAGTAAAATTTATAATGCATTTGCTTTCACATTTGCAAAGCAAGAAACAATTTATTTCTTGTATTTCATTCTGTCACCTGAACTTGCATACAGTCATCCCTTAGACTTGGAAGGGAGTAAAATTATTAAGCCACCAACTAGTTTGAGTACCTCTTTGATACAATGCATTTTACATTGCATAAAGCCTATTGTGATTACATCTAACAAATAGTTCCTAACAAATATAAATATTGATATGTAAAAACTAGTTACAAAATTGGGAATAGTTACAAAATATTGTTGCAGCATAACAAATGCATTTAGAAAAAATAAACAACAAATTAAACAAACAAACATATTCTAATTTGGAATTACATATTCTAATTCTAATTTCGAAAATGGAAATGATCGTCAATATGGCCAAATATGAATAGAACGTCAACTTGATCAAATTGGTGACACATGACTCTTTTATGAATAGCAGTATAGTAATTAATAGTTTTATTAAATCAATAAATACAGTTTACTCAAATGCATTTCACGTTAACCATGTCATTGATTCCCGAAAAATAGTTTCGGACAAACACTGTCCGCGATACTGAAAAGAAACACGTTTAGCGATAGAACTGCACTGGTTGTCAAAAATATATTATAGCTAAAGAAAGGTACTCATATGTTTTCGAATTGACTCATGGTTGTCGGTTGTCAGTAAATAACCGATAATCCTTGAAGGAATAATAAATTTTCGATCTTATCGTCCCCAAATAATCCATTTTTTACGACTGTCACCAGCTGTGACAGCCAAGCATGCCAGTACACTTGGTCCGGTCTAGTAAGCTCATATTAGGCGGTCGCGCAATTTGGCACCAGAACTGCTTCTTGAGTATTTGCTTGTAACCGGAAATCTAGTAGCGGAAGTAGCGCCTCGCGAGACTTACGGGCCCTATACATTGATTTTAGATATGCACGTTCTTCGATCAAAGACAGACATAACACGCAACACATTTACCCATCATTAGGCAAATATCACGTTCTGGTAAACTGCTCTTACAGCTCGGTAACTTCGAAAATCAATTGATTTCGTTGCTGATTAGCAAATGTGGGGCCTCCAGTACGCTGGACAGCTAATAGGGCAGTAACGATGCACCGAACTATCGATGGATTGCTATTGTTAAGTCTCCTATAGCAATTAATATAATCGGATGGAAAAACGAAAAACTATCGATGCATCGATAGTATGTGTGACTATCGATAATTTTGTAATTGACTTCCGTTGATAAATGCAGCGCAAAATACAGGAAGCACCAGGTTCGTTCTCTTTCATTGAGAGTGCAGACTTGCAGCTTCGTTCAGTGGTTTAACTGTTTACTTGATCTGGGTTTCAAGTTTCTTGTCAGTTATTAAAGGAGACTGACACTACTTCAACTTGTATTTATTTCATATTAACTATACATTCAATTGCCAAATGACTAAAGTCTTCAAATGAGAAAATTCAAGGAGAAAAAAACTATTGCAATAGTTGATCGCAGTAGACTATTGTTGTAGCATGTTTTCTCCTGAATAGTCACCCCTATTAGCTAAGCGTAGACGATCCACACGGACCTCTTTGTATGTCAAACTGAATAACCCATTCGTAGAACTATCACTAGAAGCCCCATTTATTATGACTGTAAAGCTGTAAATAATTTTTATAATTGTCGCTATTTTGTATGACATGTAATGCGCTGATATCATTTACATTTCGCAATAACCTTCCTTTCTAATATTCAGTGTTCAATATCAGTGTTCTGTATATCTGGATCACGAAGAGGAGGAAGCATTGGGAGATATCAATTTCTGAAAATATATTGCAGAATTCACCGACGTCAAATTGTGTCGTACTGAAGCCAAACCGCTGGTTATGACTTACCTTCACCATCTTGAGCTTGTGATGTTGAGGGAGAAGATGATGGTGCGTTGTCCAAGTGGCTGTCCCTTGAAGGCGGCTTCGGTTTCCTTTTCTTGCGTGGCATCTTCCTATCATGATACGTGTAGAATTGTTATTCTCATAACTAAATGTATATCTGAGTATTGTTTTCCTGTCATACAAATGCCCCGAACATTCATGGTCGAGCCCAGGATAATAGAGCGAGTTTATACAGAGGCCGGTTATTCAATTGAACGAGCAATGTGTTGTGTTGTGCAGTGCACCTTCTTGTGTGTCACAGACAACATATACTTCCTTGTTAGTAGAGCGTAACTAGGTCAGGAGGTGTAAATTGATATTTCCTTCTTTGACTAAAACATATAACCGTGCACTAAACTACACGGGGTAAAATACAATGAATTTGTGTAGACATGTAACAGGTACCATACGCAACAAACACAGGTATTTGTGTCTCGCAAACCTATCCAGCCTTGTTCAGCTCATAGAGACATGCATTGCGACATTACAGGTTATATCTATGGGTGGTTAGTATTGATTATCCCTGGCGTATATCAAAACGTGGTTATGATACAAAGCCAAATATGTAGAAGTAGTTTAAGACTAGTTATGCTTCATTTAGTACTAAACACCATTCTAGGTGTTGTAGAGGATCTTTATGACATACCTGTCGTCTTTACTCCTCCCACTTCACCTCCAGGTGTAACTTGTTCCCGGGTACGCTGCACAGGCGCGTCACTTCAGCCACTGATAACACAACCTGAGTTATTTCTGTACGCACAGGGACATAAGTGCTGCTAGCTTTAGCGACTTGTTTCCTGGCCGCCGTAAACATTATATCGGTACTATTACAACAGGTAAATCAAGGGCGGATACAGGATTTATATATTCTCACTCACTCACTCACTCACTCACTCACTCACCACTCTCACCCTCACTCACTCGCTCACTCACCTCACTCACTCACTCACTCACTCACTCACTCACTCACTCACTCACTCACTCACTCACTCACTCACTCACTCACTCACTCACTCACTCACTCACTCACTCACTCACTCACTCACTCACTCACTCACTCACTCACTCACTCACTCACTCACTCACTCCACTCTCCTCACTCACTCACTCACTCACTCACTCACTCACTCACTCTCTCACTCACTCACTCACTCACTCACTCACTCACTCACTCACTCACTCACTCACTCACTCACTCTTCTGAATTTCAAGTGCACAATTTCATGTATGTTTTTGCCTAGAGTCGTATGCCCAGAAGGCTGTGGCTCATCGGCAAATCTGGTGGATTCATTAATCTTTTAATTTTTCTGCTTGAGTATGTCATCCGGGTATCCCTGGTGCTGCAAGTCGGAGATCCGGTTGTTTTTAGCATTGTCCGTGTGATACTCCGTGGTGGGTGGGGAACTCGGATGATGAACCATTTAACATTAACCATGGCTTACGAAACCCCCTTAAAGTGTTTTGATAACAATTGCTTATCATTATCATAGGCTTGTACAGCGTTTAGCAAATGAACGCGTGTCGGCGGGAAAGGGGATTATGATGTTTTACAGAGGTAAGTGCCTGGTACTCTTCCTTGGGAATGGATACTAAAATACTTCGTATGCACCTTGATTGAATTAGATGTAATGGTTTAGAGGTTACTAAAAATTATATTTCCTTCAACTACTTAATAAATAGGAAACAATATACGACATTTCAAGGACATACAAAGAATTCAAACACAATAGAATAGTTTGAATTTACTTTTTAGGCATCATTACGTTGTCATGTTTCATATACTGAAACATAATGTATAAACACAAGTAATTATACATCCAAGCTCGAATAGATTAAACATAATTGAACTTACTAATTTGAAGTTTACTGAATTGTAACTAGTTGTTTTCTATAATCTAAAGTTCGTAATGTTACCTAAGCGAATATAAAGTGATACGTCGCGCCTTTGTATCGAATACATATATACATGTCAGTGTTATTACAACAATGAAATCTTTTACTACGTTTGTTACAAAAGACAGTAAGTTGGTAATTCAAAACATTGTCACACATGGACAGAAGTAATATCATAAGTTATTACATGTAAGCCATACAAAGGTATTTCAAGCATTTTTGTTCAAGCTGTTGAAAGTTTCATGTTGATTTGAATTGTCAGTTTTCTATGCAATTTACATGAGCATTCTGTAAAACGTTTGCAATTGATCTGTGTAATTATCAAATCCGGTGCAATTATCACGTGTATCAATCAACTCAGTCTCTATTGATCCATCGTCAATAAAAGCTGGATAGTATATCAGTTACGGTATCGATACACATGCGTATAATCATTCAAGCAGATTACAGTAATGAGATAATTGAAAGCCTCTTTCGACCTTGAAATAACAGCCTCCGGTAGAATGCATATATAGTTACGTCCTTGTTGAAAGGTTTAAATTTGTCCCGTGACAAGTGTAAAATAAACAGATGCGCTGTTATATCATTGGACATCTTGCTTTATGGAGTCACGCCCCTCTCTGTGATGTTTATACATGCATGCACATCTGTAATCTTATGAACCTCGTTTGCATTCATTAAAGATATAGGCACGCCCACCTTCATAAATATTGGGGGTGGGGGTGTCAACTGCAAGTTTATACACTATAATAATTCAGTATAGTGTCACCTCGTGAATTCTGTAATGCGTGTAGTCTAGTTTGGATAGTCATTCGTATCAAGGTGAAGATTATATTTACATGTCCAGCAAACAATTATGTTTTATGTACTAGTGGTGCATAAAATGTATTTGAATATAAATACTACCTCTACTCAGTGGTTGGATTTCAATCGCTTTGTTTTACTTATCGAAAAAACACAAAAATGAGGACAAATAAACTCGCCAAAGTGACTATCTACTCCTATTTGTCTTATGTCTGTATTTCATACATCGTTACCAGTGTGTATGTTTACAAGACACAAACTGTTACATGATAGCTTGAGTTGATAAAGCCGAAACCCAGCATATTGACTGGTCAAGAATATAGCCAATAACCAATCTCCATCCAAGCTGCTGAGTGACCAAACGTGCTCTTCAGAAATTTCGCCCATGGCCCATCACCTGTCCTTTCCTCTGTGACAGGTATCTCATGATACGATTGGTCGCAGATAACATATGACCAGCCACTACATTGAACAGTTGAGATACCGAACGTTCTATTCGGGAAATTTGATGACGCCCTAATTTAAACCTCACACAATGATATAAGAGAGAGAATTTGTTAACGTGTGTCTCATCTGTTACATACAAAGAATACATGTGTATGCATATTGTGATAAGATATAAATGTACATGCCGACAAAAGGTCAACAAGAGAAACTTGCAATAAAATTACATAAAGCTTGCAATACACGACATGTATTCACACCTGATTTCTTTCAACATATATCTTTACGACACAATTAAACAATCAGGACTTGTTTGTACGACTAGACAGTTTCCTGTGATCCCCGAAACCTGCCAGGGAAATCAGGTGTGACTAGCACTAATTAGTCTCGGCACAGAGAGTGGGCAATCAGCGAGGGCTTCCAGGTGTTGAGTAGTGATGGGGCTCTCGGGCTTAATGAGTTAATGAGTTAATGCCGAGCGCCAGGCAGGGACCAACAAGTACCATATTTTAACGTATTTTGGTATGACGCGCTCTCCGGGCGGACGCTCTAACCAGTATACCACGAAGGCCGACTTCATCTTCGATGTAACCACATATATGTGTAGGATAAAACACGACTCCGAGGTTTTGGTTGAGATTGTAAAACCTCAGGGGAAGGAAATCCCGAGGGCGCGTTAGGAGGAGGAGTTTTTTATCTAACTTATAAACCGTCTAAGACAACACTTAATTTCAATTTGTGCATGTACTGAGTAGAACAACATTGATGGAACAGCCCGCAAATGATGAAACAGCCGGTGTCAACTGGGATGCGACTGGCAGCCAACACCTTGCCCCGCACGCGCAATGCTCGTGCTCTGCACGCGCTACCCGTGCCCTGCACGTGCGCTGCCCGCAGTACCTGTTGTGTGAGAAACACATGGTTCATACTGACAAACAATCTCATTCCTCACAGCGATCTTTCGTAGCGTAGTGGATAAAACCGCCAAGCTAGAGAGCGATGGGTTGCGGGTTCGAAACTAGTCAACGCCACTGAATCTTGGAAGTTTTCAGTAAGTAGATATTTTACGATCAGTCATAGCAAGACAACGTTGTATCAGTCATAAATAATGGTATGGGTATGAGGTTTTACAACGACAATTGTAAAACTTCGTACCTCGTATGAGGTTTTACAATGGTCATTGTAAAACCTCTACCGAGGTTATTCCATAATGCGAAGCAACTGCAAGAACAATAGACAACATTGGCCATAGGTTTATAAATCCACATAACATACAGTGAGTGCTTTAAGTGAGTCTAAACTTTTGATGGGTACCATAGTTACAATTTTGTGATACAGGCCAATTGCTCTAACGTCGTTAGCATCGTTTGTAACAGAGCCGATGTGGTAGCCTACTGTTTAAAGCGTTCGCTCGTCGAAAACCCGGGTTCGAATCCCATGTCTGGGGTCCCCCTGGTGACATTGCTAGAATATTGCTGAAAGCTGCTAATATTGACCAGCTGGGGTCGTGCACGTAGCAAGTGTTGTAAATCTGATGAACGTTTCTGAATTACTTTCAAACAGACCTACATTTTCGCGGATGCGCATTTTATTTTTCATTGATGTTACAAGACTGGGGCTGAAATGTTCATCGTTGCTACAAATGGTAACCAGCGATGTGGCGTTGAGATATTTGCCGGTCGGTCAACACAATATCGTGGATTCTCTCGATTGTTCCTATTGTCGCTGATACCGGAGGCTTTCTTTGATTCGGACCCATTGCCAAACGTTACGTTTGAGGGGCGGTGGGGTAGCTTAGTGGTTAAAGCGTTGGCTCATCACGCCGAAGTCCCGCGTTCGAATCCCCACATGGGCACAAGGTGTGAAGCCCATTTCTGGTGTCCCCGGCCGTGATGTTGCTGGAATATTGCTAAAAGCGGCGTAAAACCAAACTCAGTCAGTCAGTCAGTTAAGTTTGACTAGTTACAACTTAGAGGCAGGAATGACAAGTATTTATGTCATTTGATGATCCACTTCTTTATTATGTATTAGCGACGTTTCGGTATACATACCTATACCGTTGATCATCCATAAAGTCTTGTCGTTCCTATTACTAGCAACGTCTAGAATGCCTCTCAAACAGACCTCTTAGAGGCGTCACATACAAGTTCAAATTCATGTACCCTGGCTTAAAAATTATTTGTCAGCAGAACCACGTTGACACGCTGCCTCCAATTGTTGTGGATATTTCTCGGTAGCATGTAATATCATCAACAAAAGATTTCACTGTTTCGTAATTACTTCAGTGTGCGGGATACAACTTATCAATCTACCGTGTGTCTCGACAACACACTACTTCCACGTCACACACTGACACTCAGCTCAGATGTTCATAAATCGTTTCCACCCAACCATCCCCACATGGGTACAAGATGAGAGAGCAGGAGATTGAAAATGTCCTGGACAAGAGCATGGTGCTGTTCCGTTACCTCCAGGAGAAAGATGTGTTTGAACGATACTACAAGCAGCATCTGGCACGGCGGCTGCTCCTTAACAAGAGCGTGTCCGACGACTCCGAGAAAAACATGATCTCCAAGCTCA